ATATTTGGCCTTTACAGTGACTCGCGGTGGCCTGCTGATATATCGAGCCAATGCTGCTATTTTCCCAGACAAGTCTGGTACCAATTTACCGACCTCGGACGGATGGACGGCTTGCTGAGCCAGGAGCGCAAGGATCGATTCCACGTGTGTGTCGCTGGCCTCCTCTGACCACTGTGCTACACGATCCCACAGTGAGGTCTCCATTAGATCAAATAACAGAAAGAGTAACGAGTTCAGAGACGACCAATTTTCGAGAGATGTGGTACGTATCTGAATCCATTCGTAACATCATAGAGGTGACTGGAAGCATATGTAGGCTACACGGTCTTGGTTTACGGGACTTGCAGAATCGAGTGAAAGACCACGCGTATATTTCAAGACTTCTCTAACAACTGTTCTGCACAGGTAGTTCAGGTACATAAAAAATTGGACTCATGCCACCCGAAAAAGAACTCACACTGAAATATCGGGGACAGTTTTGACAGTTTTCCAACTCTAATAAGTTTATGGATTATTGGAGCATTTTTAAATAGCCCATTCCTTTTTGTCCTCGTCATCCTTTTCAATTCATTAGTCAATCGACGTCTTATTAAATGGCTTTGGGCGTTTAGGACTTAAGCTCTACCCCTATATATAGTTGTTTTTTAAGTGGAATATTCGTACTATTTTTCTCCAGCCTTAATGTCAAATGCACAAGTGAAAAACCATTGTTGAAGTTATTCTACAACATCCTACAACTACAGACGGAATTCTGGAACGAAAACAGCATACAGCAAAGCGTTCTTTATTCGGCATATGGAAATTAGACTTTCGAGCTTTGCAAAAATTGCACAATTGAAGGATTACGGTAGAACTCCCTCTGAACTATACAAATACAGATTTCCTATGGCAAACTTTCCATAGTCTTTAGAGGTGATCATCTATCAAGATCCGCATTTACTTCCTTCTATTCTCTCCTACTTTTCTGTACAGTAATCTTACACGCTCAACTATCAGTAAGTAACAGCTTTAGAAGCACTGCTATATATGCATTCTTTCTTGATAAGCTTGCACGAGGTTGATAAATATATTTATTTTCGGCTAACGTTTCGACGTCTTTGTCTTCCTCAGAGCCGATGATCCGAGTCGATGGTTCACGCTTGTTATTCATCTCGACGTGGCAGCTTCGCCTTCGCGTCGAGTCAGGTCTTCCTCAGCGGGCCATCTCCTCGAATGAGGCACACTCACACTCGGTGATGCCCTTTTATCAGGTTGCTGATGGTCGATAGCTGTGATTGTTCGGTGATAGCGTGATGGTAACTTGTTTATGTGAGTGTGCCTCATTCGAGAAGATGGATCACTGAGGAAGACCTGGCTCGACACGAAGGCGAAGCTCCAACGTCGAGACGAACAACAATCATGGACCATCGACTCGGATCATCGGCTCTGAGGAAGACGAAGACGTCGAAACGTTAGCCGAAAAGAAATATATTTATCAACCTCGTGCAAGCTTATCAAGAAAGAATGCATATTGATTAGTCACACCGAGGTTCAGGGAAAGTCGGTTTCGAAATAGCACTGCTATATATTTCTTCGGTGACGAACTAATGTGTTGTTCCAGAACTTATACTCTTTCCTTGGTGAACATTCTAAGCATTGTAAAATCCCACGAAACTCTCCGAAATGCCATCTAAAGTGGAATGAATACCGTATAAACACTTCAATGCCGATGGCTAACCAAAAAGGCATGCCACTTGAAAGACCAAACCCGTGCGTTTAGTCGGAGACAAGGCCACTTCCGCCAGTGAAGAATGCCCAACTAATCCTGCTCACTTGAGAATTTCTTGATCCAAACTTGAAATTGAAGACGTTCAGCATCTCAGGCTATTTGAAGACCTGAATAAACATTCACAATATAAATTCGTCATATATGATAAAATTGACTAAGATGACTTAAGTTATTAAGACCTACAGCACGTAGACGCAGCACCGCAATAAAGGAACCACCTAGCTTTAATGTACTATATGTCAACCATATCACCTGATAGGGATTTTAACAAGTTTCATTATTACTATCGATAAAGCAAGGCCAACACTGCTACACTTCTGTCGCAATCTTCTAAGCATGAATTGGTTGAAAACAACCAGGAAAATCATGCATGAAGGATTAGAATTCACCACACGGCTGAGAAGAAACTAATTCTTTCTTCTTAATTCTAAACTTCCTTTAAATATTCTAAAATTTCTTCGTTTCGTCTGTCTTTCGGCTGGTTCGATCGATCCGTACCATCAGCAATCACCCATCAACGGGACTGATTTCGGAAGGCCAAATCGGGAACCCAGTCAAGCTAGGGCGACTAATTGTGATTTAGACAGCCTCACCTTAACCGGGATCTTTGTCGATTTGAGCTCCCCAGATCAGTTCCGTTGATGGGTGATTGCTGATGGCACTGATCGATAGAACTAGCCGAGAGACAGGCGAAACGAAGGAACTGCATAGTGTGGTGGTGAACGCGTCACTCCCCGGAAAGGACAATAGCGCGTTCGTTCCCCACCGCATACGTCTGCGGTCCAGAGATTTTGAAAATATCTCCGCATCATTGTGGTTGTGGTCACACATAATTCCATGCTGTGAAAAATTGTAATAGGCAGTAAATAAAAAGTTAACAATGTTAAGAATTTATTGTCGCATTCCTTTGCATATACAATTTTTCGAGATTAAAAGGACAGAAGAAAAAGAAGAAAAAAAGGAAAATCGGAGAAATCCTTGCATGAATTCAAATCGAAACACTAGTAAACAACTGCATAAACGAATGGTGACGGTATTATTAATTAATACTGCCTTTGATAATAGGACCCTTAAAGATTGTAAAATGCAACGTTTGAAATTTTTGAAGGAAATAAAAAAGGCGAAAATAGGTGATGTCGATGACGACTTACTGCCATCGACGACGATCTTCTGACGGTATTAAACTAAAGCAGAGGAGATCTACACAGAACGGTTACCAGTTTGAATCTACACGTAAGCGAGACAGTCTACAGATACCTCGAGCGAATCGAATGCCAGTGATGATGATGCTTTGAACATGCTAAGTAAACGGGAACTCATCCACATCCCACGGTTACCAGCTTCGGTCTAAACCTGCATGCGAAACAATTTAAAACAGGTTAAACGAATCCGAAGATCAAAAACGACTCAACACGACTACGTGAATTGAATGAATGCCACTAAGCGACCCGTTTGTCGTTATAAAACCAAGTCCTCTACTCATCGAATCATGAGGCTCCATACGAAATTGATTCCTTACCATCATCGATTACGCTCTCACAACGGTTTCACGGGGTTCAGAAGCTGAAATCTTTTTCATCAAAAGATGATAACTTACAGCTTGATTGTCAGTAGACGAAATCATAATGAAAACCGATAAAACCATTACACCAAACAAGTAAATCCAACAAGTACGGCGGTACAATAGAACACCTCATTTGCGAACATTATGCTTTTGCTTCCTGTGGTTAAACAATGAGAATTCCATGCAGCAGAACATAAACTTACAGATCTCCCTAGACCGACAGAGCTCTGACTATCAGAACTAAAGCTATTGGAAAAAACCCTTCTGTCGCAAATCTGTTAATATTCTATCTATTAATGCGTGAGAACGCTCAAGCATGGCTAACGCAGGTTTCTAAAGGGAATCAACTCGACCGGCACTCAACGACATTTACAGAGGGCAAAATCGTCAAGTAGCAACCGAATCCATAAGCAAAACACGAACGCGTTTGTGGAATGAGAGATGAATCGAACGCTAGTTCTGGTATCCGTGCAAAATTTGTCATGGCGGATCATATAAAGAAGGACTCACCAATCCAACTCTAATCCAATCAAAGGCATTTCCTTAATTTGGGAGAAGAAAAACTTGGTTCGCTAGGGGAAACAAGAACAATTGAACGACGTTAAATAAAGATTAAAACGAGGTTAAAAAAGCTCTCGGCGTTTATCAATCCCTGAGGGATGTACCATGCATCCGACTTCACCAAGCATCGTTTAGAGGTGATTGAATGCATATTTGGCCTTAACAATCACTCACGATGACCTACCGATGTATCGAGATAGTGCTGCTATCCCCTCAGACAAGTCTGACACCAATTTGCTGACCCCGGAGGGATGGAAGGCTTGGTGAGCCATGAGCACGGGGATCGATCCCACATGTGTGTTGTGTGCGCCTCCGACCACTGCGCCACACGCGCTCTTTTTTGAAGTAAAGAAAACAGGGCAATCACAAAAATATTTAGTAAAATAAAAATATTCAATAAGTTTCATTCGTACCTCTAGGCAGAGCATATTTTAATACCTAAAACCGACCACAAAAACTTATAAACGTCACAAGAAGATGTAGATTTACAACATTTACTGTATATACATCACAGCATTCTAATGATAATAGTCGTTATCAAGTCCAATGTAAGCAAAAATGAATTCAATTAACACTTTGGAAATATGCATGAGAGCTTGGGTAGCGTGCCAAAATACGGGCTATATACATAAAGGCACCGAGCTAGTCACATTAGAGTACCAGATTAAAAAAAAAGTAAACAACGCTAATAAATAAAATATTAACAACTTAACAAATTCACGAACGTGAAAAGAGACGAAACGACAAGTAACAAATCAATATTGTAGCTTGCCTCCAGTTTTTCTATAGTAAATCATCTACACAACAAGGTATTTCACTGATTTCCTCCAGTATCAGTAGGTTGTCAGAGCAGCAACTAATTACTTTTCATCTCTGAGCGTTTACGTCACAGTAGGAAACGAGTCGACGATAGCAAACCCACGTGGTATCAAACTTCCATCATCTTTGAAGTTTTTTAGTTTTAAAAGAACATATATTAAATTATACACAAACTTAGTGAAGCTCCCCCGTGGGTTTTCATGTAACAATAATAAATTTGGTAAAGGTAAAGCTTAACATAAAAACAACAATCTATTGCTTCAGGTAAAAAAGTTAAGTGCACATAAGCTACCACAACATAAGACGTAGAAGAAAATCCTCGTATGTCAAATTAGCTGCATATTTCTTTCCAAAGTCCACTATGGCCTGTTTGCGCTTCGTATTTGTAAACTGATAACTGCAAAAAGATTGTCACCAGACAGTGGGAGTAGAAAATTCTTGTAACAATGACAGTTACCACTAAGAAAACCCACTTTTCAATTTCTGCTACATTACGTCGCAGAATATTTAGAATTGTTAGCCGAACAAACGACGGTAATGACGTCAGCGAAACAGACATTGAGTCACACAGAGGGCCAGCTTCGCCAAATCTTTAAAATATAAAGTATCAATAGAGAATAAAAACTTTAAAAGCTTTCAATAAGTATGTAGGACAGAAAACATTTCCAACATCTAATTCCATTTTAAAATATGACAGCGGCCTTATATTTCATTAACTAATAAATAGAAGTCTAAAACCGTCGCTAACTACGGAGTATAAAACGTCCTAGTTTGATACATCTTTAGGGACCAACCCCTACCAACCCTAACCATGCACTCGACTCTATTCGTAACACCACCGAGGTGACTGAGTGAACTTATAGGGTTTACACTATAACTTTTGAGTGTATCAAGTTAGGACTCTTGCTTGGCACCAATTTACCGATCAGCTGAGGAGGGCAGCTTGGTTAGCAAGACGCACGGAATTGAACAGACGATCCTGTGTGAAATACAAGATATCTCTAACAATTACGCTATATATGCCCACCGTTGATTAAATATTGCTGAATTTTCACCTTCAATAATATTGGCAACAAAGAAGTTCATCGACAAAAACTATTTTTGTAAAAAAACCCATACCTGTTCGCAGAACCCTTAGTTCGAATATGGACTAAACCAGCTTCCACTTGGTGGACAAATATCACAAGATGGGCAGGGTTTGCCGTATTTGACGTCCTTTCATCACCGTCATCACACGTACTCAGCAACTCGTCTGAGTAAAAATACATTGGTTTCTGAGTCAAAACTGAACCCGATAAGCTGACACGTGCTTGTTAACGGAAATTTTAGTCCACAATGGCTAATATTTCAGCAGCTATATCGCTTTTCAGAGTACAACCGAACACTAATTATTCATCGGCGTCATTTTTTTTTGCCATCCACTTTTTATGAAGTGAAAAGACCTTAACAGTGCTCACACGGTTGAGACAGTAATCCGTCTTTTCTCAAAATCAGATTCGTCATCCCATGCACTTTACTCTGCGCCGGTAAGATTACTTTCTGGAAATGTAGACCTCGGAAAAACGCTTGTGTAGATTGCGAAGTCTGCCAAAACGCTGTATCAGCTTATCAAAAACATCGAGAACACGTTTCGAAGGCAAACTAACCAATTTCTGAGTGCAAAGGCTAAGTAGAAATTGGTTTTCATATTGGTTAAGCTAGTTTATTAAAAAAGACAACTGTAAAATAGACGTGTCTAATAGAAAACGGAAAGAACACATCGATCGAATATTATAACTAGATTTTCTGAAAGGCAGAGGACGGAAGTAACCTCTCTTAACTTAATCGCTTATCAAAGGTAATATTATCGAACATATAAAAAAAGAAAAAAATAATCCAAATATTCCTTATGCTCCCATATAAAAACTAAAAACAGTTTGAAAATTTTGAATTACTTACCGACTGGAAAGTGCAACATATCCTCACTACGCTCAAGCCACACTAACATAACCCGAAGCTCTGCACTTCGTCGCGAAGGTGGCGTATTACCTGAAAATGACAAACACTGAAAAAAACAAAGAAGTACACTTGGACGCGTATGAAGCTCGCAATGTTTTGGAAGAAACGCATTCTTTATACCATTAGCAGTCACCCGTCAACGGGATTGATCTGGGCGGCCCAAATCGGCAACGAACCCAGTTAAGCTGAGGCCGCAGTTATAATCACAGTTTAACGTATTATTTACTGCCTATTCTTTTTAACAGCAGGGTATACATTGTGAAATATAACACCTGCAGTCCGCAGTTTTGCAAATATTTCAGCATCATTGAAGTTATATTTCACAATGTATACCCTGCTGTTAAAAAGAATAGGCAGTAAATAATACGTTAAACTGTGATTATAACTGCGGCCTCAGCTTAACTGGGTTCGTTGCCGATTTGGGCCGCCCAGATCAATCCCGTTGACGAGTGATTGCTGATAGCAAAAGATCGACAGAACTAGCTGAGAGACAGGCAAAACGAAAGATCCGGATGGTGTGGTGGTGAAGTGCACTGCTCCCCGGTAAGGACAACAGCGCGCGTTCGTTCCCCACCGCATACATCTGCGGTCCAGAGTTTTGCAAATATCTCAGCATCATTGAAACGCATTCTAACAAAATCTAGTTGAAAATCACACTCTCTACTAAAAACTCTTGCAAAATATTGAAGAACATTTTTATATAAACACATTCTACTTTGAAGTAATCTACAGAAACATATGCTATATAAGCGAGAAAGGTGCACTAGATTCTAGAAAACTGCATAAACCTTAAACGACACACCCATATTTGATCCACCACCTCCATATGAATGTACCCCATCCCGCTCAGTTCCCGTCGCCGACCCGTCAGCACCCCTTTTACGTGCGGTGTTCAGAAACATATCAGAAGGTCTGCAGTGAAATTGTTAGTGATCATTGCACCAGTGAGTGCAATTAAGAAGGGACTACGACCAACACTTACGATGGTGTATCTGACTTAATTTCATCTGATGAAATAGACATAGTAGAATTAGCAGATGTCGTCTTGCTCGAGCCTTCTGAACACAAAGAAAATGTAGTAGCAAACAAAAATTGATGGCGGAATCAAAATCTGGGAAATAAACACATGAAGAAAAAAGACTGATGCAAAACGTGGAAAACTGAAGGGATAAATTGAGTACCGAAGAAAAAAAACAGAACAAAGAGTATCACACAAAAGTCTAAAAGTGAAACAAACCACTGCTTAAAAAAATACTACACCAACACAGTGCTTCTATATAATATGTAAGTAAAAGAAAATGATTCCTAGGGTTGTTTTCTTGAGTTCAATCAACGGAAATGATCCAGAAGAGCAATAACAATCCTAAATAAGTAAGTTTTCTTGGAACTAACTTCTACAACTTGTCGCCGGTGATGACAAGTCCTGCTTAAACATCCTTACACTTCGTTCTGTTGGCAAAACGAACACCAGCTCACATCCTGCGCGAACCCACCACAATACATGTGAAACCCCATCCAACACATAGTGATCCACAGCTTCCGACTCTTCTAGTGGTTCTTAAAAATAAAAGCATTAGTAGGCAAAAACGCATGGAAATACCCAGTAGAAGTAGAAATTATAGAAGAAATTAAAATAGTAAAAAAAGAAATTGCAGAAAAAATAATAGTACAATTATACATGATTGATTTTATAGACAGTCATTCGTTTAAAGCACCCGCAATCGAACGACTTTTTTTCTTCGGTAATTTTTCGATAAATGCAAGATCTGGGGAAATGATCCCTTTACTGATCATATACATAGTACTTTTGAAGTTATTTACGATCTATCAGTTTTCGAAGTAAGCTTCACACCCACTCAAACTTTCGAAAAATTGACAGCGGCTTTTCCAATCTTCAAGAAAAGCACAGCAGATATAAATATCAGATATGCTAAATGGAATCAGTCTCTTCAACCATTTCGCTTTCCAAGAGATATGGACGCTGTCAAGAAATAACCAGTGACATATGTGTGCGCTCTCTCATTATGGAAGAGCAAGAAAAGTGCTCTTGTTGGTAAACGCCTGCGGATTCTAGTCCCCCTTTAGTTCACTTTTATTTTAAACAGTAAATTTTACTATAAGATGAAATATTTGTGTTTTAAATATCAAGCCAATTATTTGCTAGGCAAGCATGCAGTGAAATCAGTGAGCATGTTCCCAATTGTCTGAATATAAGTGATTCTATCTTTATGAACTGCTCTTAAAGAACCGATACGAGGTTTGCAAGAAAAACCACATGTGCTATTAATGAGGAGATTAACTAACAGTTGGTCTTCCGAGCTACTGTGTCAATATAATAGCAAAAATTCAACCTACCTTGCAAATCTGTGCACCTTCAAAATATCTGGAGTAAGTCACATGGGGAAGAAGAAACACTAATAAAGCTACAAACTCTCAGAATATAAACTTGAATAATCGATGATAAAATTAACAGATCTATAAAAGGGAAGTGATTGTTAGATAATTCATTAAAGCAATCCCAAGTAAGGTATCTAATAAGTAACAAAGTGATCATTTTTTATTTACTCCCTATTCATTTTTCAAGGCAGGGTATGATGTCTTGCCGGGTCCTTCGTTCCGTCTTTCCTCAGTCGTGTTCTATAGGCGCTATCAGCAATCACCCGATAAGTCTAATAAGTGAGACGGGAAAAATTAAAGTACTCAACAGATACCCGAAAAATAATCGAAAAAATTGCAACTGCAAAAATATCTCATCAAATGGAGGAATAAAAAGATAATATGGAACATGCATAAAACTCGCTTTTATCTAATCGCAAATTCACGGGAACTTGACACCACGCGAAGAAAGAAGTTTATAAGAGATCCTTTTGAAGATAAAAACAGGAAAAATGAGAATAATGCTATCCAATTGTAGCGGTTCTATTCAAAAACTGTTTGCAGAGTAGCTGAGTATTTAGTGATAAAACGATTGACAAAAAGACAAAACTCACTTCTTTCACTACTGTAAGCCGTTGACCAGTGTCCAGTCCAGGAATCGTGCAATCCGATTTCTACTCCTTCTCCAAGACCAGCCAAAAAACCACAAAAATCCGATGACGTATTCTGCATGTTCATCTGAAAAAAATACATGATTATACGATTTTGCACATCTATATCAGATGTAAAACAAAACCTATTTGCCGTCCAAGATGGTAGGGAAATTCTAGAAGTAAAATGCCACTTACATCATAATATATAAATTAATAGGGAAGGTGGCGCAGTGATGGCGATGCTGTTCACCAAGAGCCCAGTGCTGGTTCGACCCACCCTGGCTTCACTAAGCCTCCCAAGCCTTCGGGCTAGGGAAATTACTACGAGACTTGTCTGACACCAGCTCACTTCATCAAGTCACGTGGAAACACACTGCTAGGACCACAGGCTATGCTAGGACCTCAGAGAGAATGGACTTGATCATCATTGAACGACGTTCATAAAGAAAACGAAAAACCCGAAGCAACAGCGAAATTTTGAGGCGATTTTATATGGGACATATGAAGCAATCAAAAGGATATATTATTATTTAGTCGTAATTATTTAATTAACACATGTTTCCACCATATTTTCAATACTAATTCATACTGTCAGTGAACTAGTTTTTGTTTTACATTTATACCACTTCTTATTAAAAACACTACAACTACAATGACTACTGCTACAGTCACTATTACGATCTTTGTCATTACTGTAGCCAATACTACCATCATCACTAATACTACCAAGATTTAACAACTGTTTATAGCAATGTTATACCTTTTTATTTTCTGCCTACTATAATTTCGCGGCAGGGTACTAAGCGAAATACAACCACAACGTTGCTGAAATATTTGCAAAACTCTGGACCGCAGGTGTCTATGGTGGGGAACGAACGCGCTATTGTCCTTTCCGAGGAGTAACGCGTTCACCACCACACCATGCGGGTCCTTTGTTTCGCCTGTCTCTCTCTCGATAGAAATCGATCTTTGCCACAGCAATCGCCCGTCAGCTGGCTGTTTGTTCCCCTAGGTAGCCAAGCAAACTATACAAGAATAGGAGATAATTCCTTACCGCATTACCAAGGATGTCCACAGCCGACCGTTGGCCTTCTTTGACGTAAAACACGTAGGTGGTGTTAAGAGCTCGAGTTGGACAGCTATCGACAACTTCGTGAAGATCGCGGTAAAATTCCTTACTGTAAAAAGAAGGCAATGACGAAAACAAATTCATATGATTACCATCAGAATTTTGAGTAAAGACAACTTTGAATTGTAAACTTTTCTGGTGATTAACAAACTGATTTGTACTTGGAATTAACCGAAAGCAATTCTTTATATACAAATAAAAAGTTGTTAAGATAGGTAATTCTAGAAATTGAAATGGAGCACAAATTCTAGATGTTTTTCTCACCTTTGTCCGCTGTCCAAACACATAATATCCTTTCCTAATCCCTCTTGATCGACAAGACCCATATCGTACAAAAGAATTCGGATCGATTTGCAAGTTGCTGGACTTCTGAAATACAGTCACTGCGAATTTCATTAACTGCCAGTTTTCAATCCCTCGCAAATGCTTGGACCACAATTTTACTCCATATAGATGCCCTTATTATTTATTACGTCTTTGTTCCCTTCATAGATGCACTTTAGAGAATTTTGAGATCTCGAAACTAGAACGAAGTACACCACGCTACCGTACCACAATCTGTTTGATGGTGTGCGTCACTGCGCCAGACGAATTGAATTTTTGAATAAAAACCTTGAAATTTTACTTAAGGTTACAAGTAGGGTAAATCTGATCTCGGCCCTCGAATTCAGACATGATTTCATTCCTAGAACAACTAGCAAGAGATAAAATCTAAATCTAGGAAATATACTTCGCTGGTTTCACTTGTCTCTCTTCGTCACTCATTAGCGTCCACCGATTTCGTTCGCGTATCGCTTTTTGTTCGGTCGTTTCGCTGTCTATTCGTCGAAGTTCATTTTCAATAGCTTCAGTTTCCTTCGTCGGCTCTAAGGGACGAACCATCATGTCACTGAATACTTATGATTAAATATTCATCTTTTGCCTATAATGTTCCTCATCGAGCGTCTTCTATGATAATAGACAGATATATGGCCGTCAGTTCAGTTGTTTCAAAACCACCTAGCTTCAATAAACTAAGTCTGACCTCAAAGCGCTAAACAAATGTCTATCTTTATTAAAGATTTGAAGAAATAAGACACTAATGTTCACGAACTAAGTACCGTTACTTGTATACTAAACAATTTCAAATGTGAACTATATGGGTTTGGGAGAGCTTGAGGACAATAAAGTGAATTTTGACGCAAAGCGATGAAATGGAACGTTAGTAAAAACAAAAATTAAGGATGGGTTCCATCAGTTCTCCTACACAAAGTCCCACAGGTTTAAGCTCTGTACAACTAATCAAAGTGGGTCATATTTGGAACAAAATGAGCGTTTTTAGTTCAACTAACTTACTCGATACTTGATACTTGAATGGCCCGTCCTCACTAGCTGTGGCCATAATCTCAATTTTTCGGAGATTTGCTGGTTAACGTGTTTCCCTGGAGTCCCGAGGTCAGCTTGGCAAAAGTCTGTCTCAAGTTTTCACCATCACAGGCAGTCGCAGACCTTGTGGATCAGAGGGAGATTTACCACGATGGGACTTTGAAACCAAGACGACGGTGGATCCTGGTATTGGTTCACTCTTAGCTATGCTTCCTGATGGAAACACCGGACTCCTTCTCGGCTTGGGAAACCCTGCCGGGGGTATCTCCCCACTGTACACCACAGCCTGACACCCAGGAACACTTCTCAGCCACGATGAGGCGGTAAACCGTTGGGAGGATAACTAACTTATGCAGCACGTCAAGTCATCTGATACGTCAAAAATATTCGAGATGCAAATTCCATGTGGTATCTTTTGTTGCAGTGATTTTAGAAAGATGCAAACCTAATCACCCACAAGAGCTAAATGAATAATAAACAGAAACACTTACAGTTTGCATGTTACTTTGTAGAATTCCGGAGGTATCTCAAATTTGTGACCAATAGAAGCGCTTACAAACGACTCTTGTGACGCAGGTTTTATATTCGACACCGGTGATGGCAACGATTTCGATGTCACTGACTGTGTTAACTGCGAATCTAAATGATATTTTGAAAGATGAAAAAAACTATGTGAATCATTATAAAATATAAACGGCAATGCACAATCTAATAGTATAAATGCAATAGAATGCTGCATTGTAACTCTATTTCTTTTCATCTTCGACCACTAAATTCTTCACTGATCAATATTTCTAAGGGAGAAATATTGAAAAAAACGAAAAAAACTCAATGTTTCAACTTTTATCCACCATCAGTTATTTTCTTCATAACAGGGTATGATGTGAAACACAACCGCTAGGATGTTCAGATATGAGTAAAACTTGGAATAAAATCCCATCAAAGAACATTTAAAGGGTTCCGAGTTTTGTTAACTCAGACTGTGATCAATTCTTCCATTCATCGATTCGACAATAATAGACAATAGATTCTTCTCACGCAAGAAATAACCACTGTTTTGCCGCAAATACTCCAGGAACACATGAATATCGTGATATTTGGACACTTGGATTCTTCGATGGCACGTCCTCAGTGGTCCTGCGGACCTCACAATAATCTCCATTTTTCGGAGATATACTGGTTTAAGCTATTGTGGTTCTCTGGAATCCTGAGGTCAGCTAGGCCAAAATCTGCCCCAGATCGTACCACCACAGCAAGTCGCCGCCTTGTGGATCAGAGGGAGATTAGCCACCATGTGACTAGTTTGGTATTAGGATGCTGATGGATCTTGGTATTGGTACTCTTAGCTGGGTTTCGTAATGGAAACGCCTGACTCCTTCTCAGCCTGGTAGACCTTGCTGAGAAAAGGAATCCCCTTACTGTACATAGCAGGCCGACGCCAAGGAACACCTCCCAACCATGATGAGGCGGTAAACCCTACGTAGGTTTTTTGCGATAATAATTCTACTGGAAAATGGTTTGTTTCTCTACGTTATTCCCATTCATTTATATGACACGAAAATACATTTTCTACAGGCCTTAGCATTTCCACCATTAGGTTCACTATTTCGTCTCTCCCATCTAAAAAGAACTTCTGACTTCAGTGTGGGTTCTGCTACTACCTGTTTTCTTGGTCTCCTTTAAGAATGCCTTGAATGGTAGTCGAATTGAGTTTTCTTAATATCATGAGACAGGTCTATGAGATCGTTCGCAAGTCTTTAGCACAAGCAGTAACGGGTCTCAGTAGGTCGAATAATGCTTCTTCCAAACAAGTCTAATATCAAAAAAGACCGATTTTCTATAAATCTCTGCCACAAGTAGTTGATATACACACATTCTTACCACCTGCGCTTGTGGAGCTGATTCGAGTTTGATAGAAATTGCCGTTTTTGTTACTGTTGTTGCTCGATGGGTGACCTTTCGGCGACTTCACCTTCCTCAAAGCCGTGCTGTTGCGCTTGGGATCACCTTTTGCTGTTCATGTGGAGTCAACACAAACACACAAAAGCACGGCTATGAGAAAGGCGAAGTCGCCGGAACGCGGGCCATCGAGCAACAGCAACAACAAAAACGACAACTTACATCAACCTAGCCGCAGTTCAGCAAGGGTAGTTCGTAGATATATATATGTATATATATACATATGTAAGCATATATATAGCGTGTATATATATATCTATGTATATAAATAGCCTAGTATCAATTTACTTATTCTGAAATGACAGGAGTTCTGATTATTTCGGGTCTGAGTAGGCCTGCATTTCCTCGCGTTCCTTCCCTCTTTTCCATAATTACTCAAGAAAGTTGAGCAACTTTCACAACAACGCAAATGCGTGGTATGAGGCTTGTTTTAGAAAACGATCCAATCACTGGAAATTAATAGAGTTTTAAAAGTAAAAAATTTAGCTAATCGCAAGAACGATAAACTGCAAACTCTCCAATACCTGCAGCTAAAAAAAAGCAACGACGAAAAACAACAAAGAAATGAAATACCATTAGGAATAGATGGTGATGCAACAGTACTGGCAGATGGAGATTCCAAACCGGCTGATGAAGGAACACTTTGAAGAGGGCCTGTCGTTACAGCACTGCTCGAATTAGTTGTTTCGTTAGATTGGGACGTGGTGGCTGTTGTTAGCGATGTCGACGATGCTGCTAAAATAAAATTAGGAAAACAAACGAATACTTTAATGAGCGAAAGATTGACAGAGTCAATCAAGCATAAACTTTACTACCAATTTTATACATGGATATTGTTTCCCACGATAGAATACCTATGGGCCTTAATTTTGTAGTTACTATACCCGCCATTTTTGACACTTGCGAAGGCTTCTTCACTGTGGCTAAACAGTTGAGTTATTTCGTATACCCAAAAAACAACGGTGACTGTCCTTAATGTTAGAATATTGTATGCCGCGACCTTAGAGACGATTGCCAACACTGCTGTTCGTTTCTGACACAGTAGTGATTACGGAGCTTTTTGTATAAAACTTTGAAATGAAACAAAAAAAAGATGAACGCATCCCAAGACGGTTCTACTCAATTTCTTTTAGTGAGACGACCACTGAGATCATCCTTAATGCTTCTCTACCATTTCACTCTTGCACTACAAAAAGCATTCCAAACCCATTTAATTATTCATAAAGTTCTAACCAGCACAGATAAACTACAATCGAAATTTATCCACAGTGGAAGAAATGAAAAACACAACCAACCTCATCATTTCGAAAGAGACTAATTTTCATTGCCTATACTTATTTAATATTGAGATAATATTTCAGCATCCGTGTTTTATATCAAGAAATGTAGGGTAACCATAACCATTTAAGAATGACCACTTAAAATAATCAAAAAGGGCGCATGAAGTGCAATGAGCGGAGGCGCCCTGCAATACATATGGAATCGATCTCTGCACCCTTGGCCGACCAAGCCCTCCATCCCTCCGAGGTCGAAAAATTGGTACAACACTTGTCAGGGAGGATTTCAGCACTGACTTCATACATTAGTAGTCCACCACGACTCATTATAAAAACCAGATATGCATTCAATCACCTCCAAACGATGCTTGATGAAATCGAATGCATGGCGCATCCCTCAAGGACTGATCAATACCGAAAGCTTTATTCTTTTATCTTAACCACTCAAAATAGCTAAATATCTCACTATTTTCAACCGTATTCGACAACGGTGTTGATAACGGTTGTTGGTCAGGACGATAACCATCAGGATTTGGGCGAAGTTTCACCACTCCTGCAGATGCCGTTTGCATGGGTGATCGTCGAACGTACAATACACAAGGACAGCCTAAAATTGAAAGGTCTTCGACAGTATTAATTAAGCTCCTTACTATTAACAATAACCAATGAGTCTTCTTAATATGTACTTCGAACCACCTGAAAACCAATGAATAAGACATCTTAACATAACCTTCAAAAAATTCTCACCGTTAGACAATTCTGTAATATGTGACGCTTCGTGTAGTGATAACAATGTATCGCCATTTACAAGTACGTGGAAAAATTTCGTTGTGTCAATTGCTGCTGGTCCGTATGTATACAACAAACGCCTTTCATCGCATATTGCTTCTCCACAACGACCCTGGAAGAACGTCAAATGCGGATTTCACCGAACAAAATCCGAAAGTTCGCATCTGTCATATAACGGCTTACCACAACAAAAAACAGTGAATACATAAGATATTCGGCGGCTTCGAGAACACGCTTGCTGGCTGCTTTGCGGTTTTCGGGAGAGCTCTGTGATTTAAAACATGTACAAGTTATGAATGATGCCAAAGAAGCTTATTTTAAAAAACAAAGAGGTGAGAAGCACTGGGTAAAACTAGGACGCAATCACTCACGTCTTTCTTCGATCCAGTCACACCAAGCTGAACAGCTTCAGCTACCGTATTCAGAACGCCTTCGCATTCTGCCAGAATCGGGGCCGCGTTTAACCACACCGCTATAGAACTGTATGCTGCTACAACCTGAAAATTACTGCTAAGGTATAAGAATAAGTGCTTCATAAACCGTAAAACTAGTATTTAGTTGAATATTTAGAGCGAGCAAGGCGTAAAAAGACGAGAACGGATCTAAAAACGACTAAAGAAAATGAGTGTCTCAGCCGATACTACAGGTCTTGGGATTGCGCACAGATGCCCAGAAAAGCTTTCATCTAAAATTTCTGCTCTGATTACTCTTCAAAATCTAGGATATTTCACTACAGTCTCACCGTGGAATGCAAATCTTTGGAGTGCAGTGGAGGTGGCTTGCCTAGTTGGGTCTCAATAAATCGGCACAGTGACGCCACTATGAGCGAACCGGTGGAGACATCCTCTGAAAAGGATACAATTTAGCAATCAATGAAATAGTTCCTCGACAAGTGAACGATGAAATTTTGTCATTTCTGAAAAAACGTTTCACTGTTTAACACAAGTGGCATTCGTTTTGATGTACGTTCAACCGTTTTCCATCTTGTCTCATGAAATTCTATTTCCCTATTTTGCCATCATCCGCCTTGCATTTATTCAAGAAAAGAAAAACAGTATCACCAACTGCTGCTCACTAATCCCACCAACTGATGATACAGAACTCGAAGTTTCCTAAAAATCGTTATGAATTCGTCCGCAACGAGATGCCCTAGCAACTTTTATACTGCAAATTTAATGCAACAGGAATAGTTGCCAGGATCGACTTTCTATTAACCTCGGCATTGGAATATGAATGTGTCGTTTTCTTGTTCAGCAATCGCGAGGTTTTTAAACAGCATACATTTACTTCCATAAAAAAACACAATACAATACAACGCTAGCTGAGGTTTCGGCAGTATCGCCTTCTTCAGAGACTGGAAGGGCATACTGATGTAGTCTACTAGGCAACAGGAATGCTATGACGAGAACGTAATATACTTGGATCCGGAGAATGCAAAGGAGATGGAAATTGTTTTATATAACCTCCTTGCTACGGAAAATCGTCCTAGAAAATCTTACACTTGGGTGGGCAATAAAATCTCTATACGCTGTGCATAACGATTCTATACTCAGTGATGCCCAGTCCAATTACAACGGGAGTCAAAGCGACGATGTGAAAGAAGAATACGAGATACTGATAAAATTTCTATCGAAGTGCCTTGAAAAGCTCTCCTTAGCTTATAGACAAACATTTGTCAAGTAAGTAAAACAGAAACGCTGAAAACAACAAGTAGTTGACACTAGATCCTGCTGTTCACACACACACACACACACACACACACACACACACACACACACACACACACACACACACACACACACAAAACGAAAAAAAAACGTAAAAATGCCGTCTAAATGTACGCGAGCACTACATTCTACCCTGTGCTCAGATGAAGATGTGTGAGCTATAATTTCAAAGTACAAGTAACAGTGAGATCGTGGAAAGATTATTTTTGATTGACAACATCTACTCCATTCCCTACCATCTCCACAGATACATCATTAACCATAATTTCCGCTATTATAAATCGACCGAACTCCTAACGGCCAACGCCGACCGACCAACACCTACACGCTCCACTTGACGCGGAAGACATAACGCCTAAAAACATAAAGGACAGTCAACCAGTGGATGGTTTCGCACATTTTCCTTATGTATACGAAGAACTGCAAGGACGGCCTTCGACACCACCTTCTGACCAGTTTCCGATCTGTGTTCTATAAGCTTTTTGCGAAGGTCTTCCTGAGAAATTTCTAAATCTCCAAGAACCTGCATAAGGCATAACGTATTCACCTAAAGTTCACAAGGTGTTTATAGGTTAATCGACCACATTCAAACACAATCGGAGGTTATACAATCTGTCGGAAACATAATCCAACCGTTCCTACGATATTCGTCGCCTACGAGAAAGCATTTGACAAGGTGAAGACTTACTTCTTCCAGTTAACCAAGCTGTAGACAGATCCATAATACAGGTCCTTACTGAACGCAACAGTCAATGAACAACGCTGATACACTTTTTAAAGTGACAATTCATAATTCAAAATGGTAAAGGAATACGACGTGGCAACTATGACTGGATCTGTTAACCACAGAGCTACAGTGTGAACCTATATTAATGGAAAAGAAAAGACATAGTGATAGATGATCCTTCCCTACCTCCACTTTGCTGATGACACTGTCGGCTTACTAGCAAATGCAGCAACAATGCTTGTTGAGCTCAATGAGGCTAGAAAAAGATGGGTTAACCACGGATGAACTGAAGAATAATTTAGCTCATTAATTCGTGTTCGGAAGGAGAACAGACCACTTTGGATGGATCACTAATTAATTAAACCACACATAACTCATTTTAGGGCGTTCAATGAATACAAGTTACGATTAGTAATGAGTAAGGAGTAGGACTTGAAAGAACACAATGAAATGCAAGGAGAAAGATTGGCTATTTTGGACCTGTAACAAAGAACACTGACCAATTTAACTGGCGCCGACCTTTCTACTTATTTGATACGGCAGTGTCCTTGGCTCTAAGCCATGCACCATTAACATGGTCAGTTAACCTTGGTCACATTGAAAAAGTTTAGTACAAAAGACAAGGGATTCGGAAAATTTCTGAAAATAAACTGGCGCCCTCGACGTCAAGTCGGCTTTCGTAGTTCATATCTCCAAAGAACATCTGTTATCGAAGGTCATCGGGATACGTCTTGACAATTAAACATCGGTGAGATGACAACATAATGCGGAAAGAATCGAACGGATAGAAGACTAGAACACTAGATTGGATTCCAAGATGCTTACAACAACTATTAAGACCTTCAAAACCATTAGCCGATACATACACTGAAAGCGTAAGCGAGCTCCACCCACTGAAGTTTATGGAACCAACTTCCATATTCCCAAAACGCAACTGCACCCACAGGCCAGTATGACCACCTAAGTTGAATGGTGCTTGTAAAACAACAAAATTGAGCGAAAGAAATGTGACCCACAAGTCACATATATATACATGTATATATATATATATATGTATGAATGTATAACGTACACGTACAATTATATGTGTACATGCGTACACACGTAATATATATATACACATACATATACATATACACATAAATGCATATATATACATACGTATATATATACATACGTATATATATACATATATATATCCATACACATATATATGCAGAAGCACGTGTGGCGAAGTGGTCATAGGCGCCCTGTAATACGCACGAGATCGATCCCGTGCCCCAGGCTCACCAAGGCTTCCATCTCCTCGGGCACGCTAAATTTGGAGTCTGGGAGGGGAGGATAGCAGCACTGATCCGATACATCGGAAGGCCACCGTGAGTCATTGTAAAAGCCAGGTATAAATTCAATCGCCTCTAACGATACTTAATAAAATTGGATGTATAACATATCCCTCAGGGATTGATCAAGATCGAGACTTTCACCTTTTATATTTATGTACATACACATACACACCCCATACGTATATGCATACAATATGTATAATACGCAATGCATAAACATGCAGCGTACATATATATATATATACATATATATATACATATATATATATAAATGTATACATACATACACATATATGTATATATACCTTTTTACCACTGTGATACCCCTAGTAATCAAATTTCACTGACAAGGTAGAATTCGAACCTTACTACCGCCGATACTCTAGAAACTAAAAGTCTTTACTCATTGTCATAGTGAAGTGCAATTTAATGACTGCTGGTACACTTATCAGTTAACCCCTTATAAACATAATCCTCAACCAGTTGCTTAGGCACATACCAGCCCATCTCACGAACTCCCAGATGTTCCTAGACCGTCTGCGTAACGCACGTCCCAAAAGCGCGTACGTTATGGAGTCGTTCGACGTTACCGCTCTTTACGACTCCGCAATGCAAGCCATCCGTGAGCTTCTTGAGAAACACGAAGGAGCAATTAACATGTATGGCTTTTCGATTCAGCAGCTTATGGTCCTCCTGAAGGTCTGTTTAAACTGCTCGATCTTCAGATGGTCCGGGAATTATTACGCGCAAATTAGAGGGTTGGCAATGGGACAGCGACTGGTCTAAAGTGGAAGCACCAGTAATCGATCTCACGCCATTACTCTACTGTAGGTATATAGATGATTGTTTTGTCATCTGCTCCACACAAGAGGAAGAATCCTCGAAACTGGCGCGGCAAATAGCCATTTCAAATGGTTACGAAACTGTAGCTTCTCAGGATAGGCATCGAGGAAATCCCACGCCCCAGAGCGATAATTCTAGCGAAAACAAGGCTCCGTTCCTGTTGCCCTTTATTTCAAACGAAATAAGTGCAGCTATAAAACGCTGCTTAATAAGGGCCGGTCTAGAGAATTCCGTAAGAGTGACAGAAATACCATCCGACACTCTAAGACGCCAGGTGGTTTCCAACCGCCTATATGACCGCCTGTGTACAATGAAAGACTGCATAATTTTCCCTAACAGTAGAGATGGTGATTGCGTGCGCTCGGGTACAGTCTATCTGATCTCTTGTAAAGCGTGCGGGCACGAATATGTTGGCGAAACGGGTAGACCGCTCTGCGTCCGCATAAAAGAACACCTAGTCGGTAAATCTAAACATAATTCAATGTTTTTCATCAATAAGCAGACACGAGGTTGTTAATATAGAATTTATTAGAACACAATTGCTGACGTTTCGGCGGTTTCGCCTTCTTGGGACTTCTTGGAGAACACTGAACCCCTTATAAAGTTCTCGAAAGCTGTCCAATCTTATTTCTTTCGGTATTTTACAAATTCTCTTAGTACATTTGAGCTGCCACCCATTTCAAACATTTTCCCTCACAAAACCAAAACCTTACCGTTGTGGGAGACAAAATTTTGCGAAGTTTCACCGCGCTATAAAATCATCATAGTTCCGATTTTTTCCGTAGAATTTTTAAACCGAGAAGGAAAAATGTGTAACAATAACAAAAAGTCTCAACACCATGCCGAATGGATATAAAACCACATACTAATATCACTCCATGAAATGTTAGAATAAAGCACTTATACAAAGTTACATAACTTACTGTTATTAAAAAGTACACTTGGATGGAGATGTGATAAGCAATTCAGGACGTCGATAGCCGCTAAAGATATGGAATGTTCACCTGCCCATTCAGGCCGACAAATTCGATCACAAATAGCCGAGACAAACCCTCGTACAAACGAGACGCAAAGTCCTAAAATGTCCAAAAAGTCAAACATAATAAAAATAGAGGAACATGAAGCGGTCTCTGTTTTTTTTTCCTCCAGCGCTTCACCATCACTAGGAAACGAGTGTAGAACGCCAGCTATTACCTTTTTCCGGCGCTTGCGTTCCGTGCTGCTGAGTAGTGATGCGTATCATTTCATGTCTTTCTGTTTCCGTTAGTCCAAGATCATAAGAACAACTTTCCTCCATTAATACCGTACACATTGCTGGAAGTTTAAATGCCAGCTAGTGAGTAAACTACAATGTAGACACATGCAGGATGACATTTTAACGACGTAAACATAAACAAAACTTATGGTAAAAAAAAATAAAAATAAACTACCTAGTGTCAATTGAAGATTAACGGAATCGGTTTCGTTTCGTAAATTAAAAACTAGTGTTTTGTAGATTCGTGAACGCAACTGCAGATATGTCACAGCTGATGACTTCAAGTTGGAACTATCGGCTAATTCTAAATTCGGTCATCCATAATAAAGAAAGTATTGTTAACAAATAGCGAAACATAAGAAGAAAAAAAACAGCATTTTGAAAAAAGAAACGATAAAAAAGCGTCATTAATCACGAAAAGACTTTTTCCATGTTTCCAACTGGCAACTCTTCCTTTTCAGTAGTGGAAGGAAAGAAGAAAGAAAGGATCTTTTAAAAAAAGCCAGATTTTTTAGATAAGCATTTAGTTATTGACTCACGGGGTATTTTATTCATTCCAAATGTCGTAGGCCAACATACAACCGACGACAAACCTCTCAGACACGCTCTACGCATCTCTACTTCCGAAATTGACGGATGTAACCTATAGAACACTACAAAAAACCAAAAAATAAAGTAAAAAAAAAAAAGTAAAAAAAAATGAAAGTACTATAAAAACGCCAAACTACGAATTAAGTTCAACAGAATAAATTGGAATTATGATATTAAAGCGCCTGCGAATAAAACTATTCGATGGAAAAAAAGAACAAGAAGTGAACGAAGTTAAAGTAGAAACTACAGGCATTTACACAAATAAAAAAAGCTTAAAAAGATAAAAAAGTCAAGCTTAGAAAAAAGAATATGACAGAAATAAAACACTGAACTTTAGACACTCTGGAAATATAAGTGAACACTTATACTTAAGGCGACTAAGTACAAAGAAAATAGCTCCTAGAACGATTAAGAGATCTCACCTTAATTTTGAGCTTTCAATAAGTACTATGTCTAAGGCGAAAAGATAATGAGGTAGAATGGCTTCAATACCGGGTAGTCCTAATCGAAAAAGATTCTGTCCATAGAAGAACAACGAGCACAATACTAACCGATCTTTCTGAAACAACATAAATGCAAGTATAGTCGACGACGAAAAACCTGCCCTTCCAGTATAAGCCCAGATCTCCACCCTAATGAAAATTAATTATGAAATATGCTTCCCATATTTGGACACGCTTAGTTTCAAACGAATTAGAAATCGTGCCAAATAAGAACAACAACGGTTGGATAATCTAAACGCAGAGAACTTTTATCAAGTCATTACTGGGTAGTCAGGGTAGCAAAATCATTAGTAATGATAAACCCTTTCATTAAAACATAAAAGGTAATTCAATCATTGAGAAAATGTGTAGCATCTAGGGCAAGAACGAAATAGGAAAAGAGAAGTGAAGTAAATCTTTCAACTAGAAAATAAGAGCAAAAAACTCTCGCTTGTTCATTCACCTCAATCAGTGCCTCATGTATTGTTGATAGAAAACTGGCCAGCTGTTGAATGGGGAGCTTTTCGGTAGTACGTTTAGAACACACTATCCGTGTCAGGGCAGCGATGGCAGCTGCCTTCCCCGCCGAGACACCATCTATGCCGTCGGCGCCTGAGGCGCCTAAACCACTGAACACACTGCTACTGGTGTCACCGCCTTTGATTGAGTCACCAGTCACAGATGAGCATGAACTGGCTAAATTTATCACAACAATAACTCAAAAGATTGACTTTTTTAAATCTCGGCATAATAATCGACATTTCTGTATATGTGTTCTTACAAATTGACCTTGTTTAGCTGACGCGAGGTTGGCATAGATCTTCTTATTGTTATTATTGTCGTTCTTCAATGGCTTACCTTTCGGGAACTTCGCCGTCATCAGAGCCGTGCTGTTAGACCACCCGTGTACTGTTCACGAAGGATGAGCACGAGGGTTCACGAGGAACAACACAAGGGTAGTCTAACAGCACGGCTCTGAGAAGAGCGAAGTCACCGAAACGTCAACCATTGATCAACGACAATAACAAGAACAATAAAAAGATCTACACCAACTTCGCGTGAACTAAGCAAAGGCAGCTCGTATCACAACAATAGCATTAACAAAATAAAATGGACATAAAAGGTATGGTGAAATATCATTTCGAATAGAACCTATTATATCAAAATCTCCAAAAAATGCTGTGACCATGCCATTCATTAACACTGCCTCCAGATTAAAATAATTGCCAGCTGGCAGCTAAAAACAAACCCACCAACGCTTCGGCGTTTGCCACTACTTCCACCAATCATCGCCTCAGGAACATCTTCCAAATCAACCGAATGTAGCGACAAACCAGATATAACATCTGAGTAAAATCTGGATTGAAAACGAGATGAATAGTTGGAAAAAGTGGTCCAAAAAACCCGCAATCATTAAAACACCCCCGATCTTTTTTCCTTGTTTCCTTACCTATACACTTATGTTTTACCATCATTTAATAAACAATGATGGTTTAACTTAAGTTAATAGACCGCATGGTACTGACCGAAATTTCGAAAATCTAAACAACAGAGATGGAAGCTGATTGCTTAAACATGTCATGTTTAACCACAAAGATGCTTAGATATGAGCAAAACTCAGAACCTGATGTGATCTACGAACCCGGGATTATCCATTCAGGGGCTCACCTGCTATTCACCACGCTAACCGAGGACCTTGCTTTGCCTTTTTCCCAGCCAGTTCTTTCACTCTAAGCTACTATCAGCAACTATCCATCGACACTTACGATACGATCTGGGATGCACTAATCGGCATTGGACCTAGTTAAGCTAAAGTTACAGACGCAGACGAATAAAAGTTAAATCTCACATTTAACGCCTTTCTGGATTGTTAACAAGATGTTGATAAAGATGTTTAAATGGCTTGATGTCATATTTAGTCTCTTTTATCATAACAACCATGAAACTCCTTCACGTAGGAACAAATCTCTACAGTCTCTTATCTCTTATAAATAGTCTAAACTACCAAATACTAGCGTATCTGGAACACAACAAACTGCTCACTTACATAGGTCACAATTCTGTGTTAGATTCACCGGAACACCGGCGTACATCATCTTCAGTAATGACGCTTAACTGCCTTTGCTATGAGAACGTATCGTGACACTCGCAATGATGCAGACAGACGTGATAGCTCGAAATACCGTCAAAATAGATTAAATTTGAATGAAGTCAAGTGGAAAATATCCAACATAGCGATATGGTGGCAACAAATAGTGGGGCTCTACTGTTGGAGTGCCAAAAATCGGAGGGAGCGGCACGACTAACCGCCACCACTGTCACCAAAAGGAACCGGTTATAGGTGTTGAGCGCCCGAACAGCAGAGAACACATGATGCGAAATCTCTTTTCACAGCAGTACAAAGATGACTACTGAATGTCCAGGTGAAGAGAAAAAGGACAAGGTGATCGAAATCGGTGAATCCCTGAGGAATGCACCACACATTCGGCTCTATTCGTTGCACCTTAGAGATGACCGAATGCAGGTTTGGCCTCAATAATGTGGGAGAGTGCTGATAAATAAAGACAAAACAACGTTAACTTTTTATTTACTGCCTACTACAATTTTTCACGGCAGGGTATTATGTGGGGTACAACCATAGTGATTCTGAGGTATTTGCAGAACTGCAGTCCCTATCGCAGACACCAGCGGTCCGGAGCATCGTAAACATTTCAGCATCATTGTTGTTATAAAGGAAGCATTTTCACCCTCCCAGACAAATCTGATACCAGAATACTGATTCGACAGGAACGGAGGAATTGTTATGCCCAAGGCGCAGGATCGAACCAACAACCCATGTGTACGCGACACATGTGAAAATACTATAAGGGAACAATGAAAATATCGAAACAAAAATAACAAGAACCAATCACGGCTATTTAGTTCCTAATGCCATAAATTACGGACAATAAGTTTCGCTCTCATATCTAAACACGTTGAATTTAGCCAGATATCCTTGGTACGATATCATCGAAAAAATGTGCACTTCGAGAAAGAAACTCTGCACCGAATCAGGAAGAAATTGGTGACATGCACTAGGAACTAACCGGTCAAGTCAACATAGAGTTGATGTCGGGAATTCTCCAACAATACATTTTTGCTTTGAACAGAATTCATCAAGACGGCCGCTGGACTGAAGGTGCGTGGAAATATGAAACACAGCAATTTGGACTTATTTCGAAGAAATAAGCAAAAATCGTAGTTCAGTTACACTGTTTCAATTTCGAGCTCGAAAATGACTCTAACTGAACAAGAATCTTGCACACAGTTCTTTTTCGATGCATCACTAGAAAATAAGCAACGCACACCCGCCCTCACCAGTCAATTCATGAACCACAGCTTTTCGGTGCAACTAAACAGAAAACAAAACGGAACTAAGCAAACACCGGCGAAATGTTCAACAATGTTGCAGTCTACCAACAAAAAAAAGCCGAAGATTATTGAACGAACTATTCGACCAACAATAAAACTTTCACTATCACATGAAAAAAGGTGAATTCAAGCCTCCTATTTCCATAGTGGAACAATTAGAAAACATGTGGATAAAGGAAAAAGCGTTCGGCTTTGATCAGATCGTTAGAGATGCGTCATCATGCATCCGACTCCATTTGTAGCATCAGCGGGGTAAATGAATACATATTTGATTCATAGAATGACTTCCAGTGACCTACCGATATATCAACTCCGTGTTTCTACCCTTGAAGACAACTCTGATAGTAATCTATCGACCCTAGAGGGATGACGACTGCTCGGTTAAACAAACGCGTGGGATTGAGCCAACGACCAAGTGTGCATTGCAAGGCAACTTTAACCACTGCGCCCCCTACACTCGCACATTAAAACGTATACCAAAAAAAGTAATATGCGACTAAAAACAACCTTTAAACCGACCGTCATTTAACCTCGGTAGCAAAATAATCAATATGTATTAAAATTATTGAGCTTACACGAGAATGAAATGCAGATTTATTCGGCTGACGATGTTTCAACGTCTTCGCCTTCATCAGAGCCGATGATGAGAGTCGATGGTCTTTCACAGTTTGTTGCTTTATTCTTACTTATTTACTTTACACAACTGCGGACTACCGACTGGGACCATCGTCTCTGATGAAGATGAAGACGTTGAAACGTCGTCAGCCGAATAAATCTGTATATCAACCTCGCGTAAGCGTAATAATTTAAATAAATGTGTGACTAACATTAACAGGTCTGGAGTTTTTCAAATTTAACCATCGACCTCAAAAAAGAACCGAAAAATCCTATCCGACTAGTTCAAAACCGACAGCGTTTAGACGTTTTCGGATGACCTGACGAATAATATTTAAAAATGCACCACGATCAGTAACGTTATCCATATGGGAAAATATCAATATGGGAAAAAGTTTAGGCACGATTTCCGTGTTTCTACGCTGATCAATAAGATACAAAGAGATAACAGCGACGTTGATATAGGAGTAAATTTGAAATCGGTGAACGAACCGTCAAAATTCTGAAAACCTTTACACTTTTCCTGCAAAAAAAAAAAGGAAACCAAGCAAAATATGAACTCTTTACAGTTCCGTCGACACAGTGAATCACCGCTTCTTCACAAAAACAAAAATAGAAAATCACACTGATTCAACTGACTGCCACAACTTTTTCGGTCATCGATCAGACTTTACTTGAGCTATGAAGTTATCTACGCCTTGTGGATTTACGAAACTTAAATTGTACCTAGTCTATTTATTAATTATCTTTTCTATTCATATTTGTATTTATATTTATTTATTTATATTCGTACTTATACTGCGGTGGACAAAGTTTAGTAAGCAGGGACAATTTCCGGAACAAAAATCCTAGCAACTCGTAGATTGTAACTCAGCAACACAACGGGCAACTGGCAACCAGAAAATTAGCAGATTAATGAAGTGCAAATATGAGAGGTGAAGGCAACAAAGAGTATTTTTAAAAGAATCTAAATACTTTGGAATTGGATGACTGAGAAATGAATACTTTTGTGAGGTGAGGAACAGAAAGTTTATCTGTGATAAGAAAACCTATTCAAAAGTCATAAACGACACGGTAATTCCATTTCCTACCATAAATTAATTCCTACTAATGACCATCTTCGAAGCAATTACAAAACTGCGCCTTTGAAGAGATTCTATCTTCAAACCGGAAAAATCTGCACATCGCTATGTGGCCAAAAGTCTCGCTAATACAAATCCAGGCATGATTCTGGGAGTTAACTAGTTTGCTCGAAACGCCTAGTATAGACTGACAAATACCCAAACATGTTAGAAGATAACCCTTCTTAAAATTTACTTACAAAGCCTTGAAAATGGATATATTACAATTATATTCCGCTTTGAAGATGATTACACTTTTCTTTAAGCAATTACATGAACTGTCACATCCTCATCCTTCTAGAGATGATTAAAGGAATCTGTAGAGTGATCGATTACATGAATATTTTTTTGTTAGAGAGGAAACCTCATGTACCCCAAAAATTGATCTATGTTTCTAATGACCAGATTACACATACAACTTAAATATTGAAATGGATTTCAAAGAAACATCCAATACGGTTATCTAACGATGCATCTTAAAGGAGCTATTATACAAGCGCAAATTCCTGTCTTTAAAAAAGCGGGTAGAAGTGCACTAGAAATCGTTTCGAAGATACCAACGATCTCTAGTCGGCTGTCACAAGATTTTAAGAACGCTGTCTCACTAACTTTTTAGTAAAACTCAACACTACTCGACTAAACTGCTCGTGTATCGCTTTTCTCTAGTGCGGTGAGGTAGTAACCTCGGCATGGGCAAATACCACTCAACCAAATACGATCCGCTAAATACCTACCTGTTCGGAATCATGTGAGAGATGCGAATAAAATCAATGGCTATGGCGACAATGGAATACCATTTCGTCACCATTCACCACATGAACACAATAGAGTTATTCACCAACAGACAGAGCGTCGCTGCATAATACGGGATTACCTGGCAGCGAAGTTTCAACAGTGATAATTTTGGTTCTAAGCATTGTAGTTGAGTTACGTCAAAAAAAAAACACTTGTACGGAGCACCATTTCCCTATGAAAAAGTTGAAACGGCCAAATTTTCATTCAGTAATCTTGAAATGAGCTATAATTCATTGGATCACGACGCCGATTCAACTAATACCCGCCCAACGACAGCCTTCCGTTAACGGTACAGATAAAGTAAACAGAAACATTGTAAAAGTCAAACCAAACGCACTGGTTTTACACTAATAATACTACGCAGTGATTTTCCTCGCAAAGTCATTGCTACTTTGCTAATGACGGAGCCAAGAA